TTCAAGGGAAAATGGGGGGACTGTGGAGCCAGCTGAGTCCTTCACACAGCTGCCCGTTGTCTGAGGGTCCTGGGCTGCCGTGTGCTCTGTGCAAGATCCCGTCCCCTGAGGTCCTGGGCTGCCGTGTGCTCTGTGCAAGATGCCGCGTGGCAACGGCTGCCGTCATTTCATTGGTGCTCGTGGCGCATCACAGGGGAAAGATGTTTTGAATAAACACACATTTGAGAAAGGCAGTGTTTTCCGTGCAGACTTGGGTGGGAAGGAGAAGCACGTGTCTGGCCTCTCTGCCTTGTTTCTACATTGCTGGTCCTTGGTAGTTCCCAGAGTTTGAAATGCACCAGCAGGCACATAACTGAGAGCCTCTGCAGTCTCTGTGTTTCTTCATGAGGCAGCCTGGCTGCAGAGCCCTGAGTGTTCCAGAAAGGCAGGAGGCGGCTCCAGGGATGGGATGTCCTTGCACGCCTCCCCAGCCCGTCTCTTAGCCTGAGTTTGGGGAAGCATGGGGCCTTGAGGCAGCTGTAGGTCTGCAGACTCACATAGGTTTGTCTTTGTGGGATAAATGATGTGAGGGAGTGAGAGTTGGTGTCAGGCCTGACACAGTTCTTCTCCCAGAAAAGGTTATGAGGGGGGAGAGAGAGAGCCACACCTGTTTCTGATCCATCTTTACCTAATCCAGGAAAGAAAAATCTCATTCTAAGTTATGCAGAGAAACAAAAGAACTACCTACTGCTTAATTTCTCGGGTCTGAGGTCTTAGGACTGGAACCTGCAATTTAAAAAAGAAAATCTATTTATTTATTTATTTGGTTGCATCGGGTCTTAGTTGTGACAGGCCGGCTTCTTAGTTGCGGCACACGGGCTCCTTAGTTGTGGCATGCGAACTCTTAATTGCGGCACGCGTGTGGGATCTAGTTCCCGGACCAGGGATTGAACCCGGCTGCCTGCATTGGGAGTGCAGAGTCTTAACTGCTGCGCCACCAGGGAAGTGCCCTGAATTTTTAAAATGTGTGCGTATAGCCTAGAATTTTCTGCATAGTTGTCATGTCTGATTGCGCATGTTAGTTTCGTCTTCGACAGCAAACTTGGTGTCCACTGCTCTGTATTCTGGTCAACCCACGTGGTTCCTGGTTCCGAAAACGGCATGTATCCAGGTTGGATGACTCGTGGCCCCTTCCCCTGCTGTTCTGTGGCCTGTGCCCACCGCCCCAGCGGTGAGCACCGTGGGCGGGCAGTGTCTCTGGGGCTGATGGCTTGGCTCACTCCATCATCGCAGGGCGCTTCCGCCGGGGCCACAAGCCCGGGATTGGCTGCCACTTTCTGAGGGTAAGGTCATGACCCGCGTCTGGTGGTCTGTATGGAGGAACAGTGGAGATATTTACTGAGCGTTGGAAGGTCCGAAGGGCCAGTTGTGACCAGTGGGCTTTGTTTCTATGCTGTTCAGAAAGAGGACATGATATATTTAGCGTCAAAACGACCACCCGCTGGGAAAGGGCCCTCAAGGCTGGCAGGGGTGCGGGGTTGGGGCTTGTGCTGGGCTTCCCCAGGGGCTTGTGGGTCCCCCATCTCTCAAGGTGTCGTGTTGTCATCTCAGCTACGTTAGAACATTAAATATCACATATAACTCATATTTCAAGGCGGGATTGGAAGAGAGCTTTCTAGTGGGGAGGAAGGAAGATAATTTAGGAAAGTCGTCGTCCCCCCCCGCCACCCCGCTGCTGCTTTCCTTTTGGTAACTTGAGGTCACTGGGCTCTGGCTACGGAGTGTGGGAGAGACAGACCTCTACAGGGCAGGGAGAACAGCCCCGAAAGCAGGACAGACACCGCGCGTAGCTGCGCTGAGGCCGCAGAGAAGGGGGCTGAACCGAGCTGACGGCTGGCGCAGCAGGTGCACTGAAAAGATTGTTTTTAATCCGCCTCAGATAACTGAACACCTTAGTCTTAGTCTGAAGGCTTGGGCACGATGTGAATACACATGTAAGTCCCCCAACCCTCCCTGTAGCTCCGCCCAAGCTGCTGTGACCCGTGTTCCTTGCCCTGTCCTCACCTCGGCTCTAGCCGTCTCCCCAGGAGGCGGGGATGTGCTTCCGGAAGGAAGAGCCAGCGGCTGGGTTTGGCAGTGGTGCAGCCACATGTGTCAGACGTGTGCGGGTGAGAGCACTGGCCTCACTTCCACCGGAGCCGCATACACTCTGAGGACAAAGATGTAAGTTCTCCAGTCCAACGTACTGGACGTAGGTCTGCTCTCAGGGGTCGGGGCTCACCTGGAGGGGCCTTGCCTCCCATTCTCCCAGAGCGCGAACTTCTAGGGCAACCACGGCACTTTGCTGTGTTCTCCCAGCTCCTCTCTGGAAGATGCTCAGGCCACCCCCATCTCCTCTTTTTTCTTAATGGTATTGAACACATTTGCTTATTTGTTGTATCTCTTTTTTTGGGGTGTCATATCTGTTCACGTCTTCTGTCCATTTAAAAAAAAACTGAATTGTTGGCCCACTTTCTATTGAATCGTAAAAGATCTTGATATATTCTAGATACAAGTCCTTTTTCCAGATATGTCTTTTGACAATAGTTTTTTTTTTTTTTGCGGTACGCGGGCCTCTCACTGTTGTGGCCTCTCCCGTTGCGGAGCACAGGCTCCGGACGTGCAGGCTCAGCGGCCATGGCTCACGGGCCCAGCCGCTCCGCGGCATGTGGGATCCTCCCGGACCGGGGCACGAACCCGTGTCCCCTGCATCGGCAGGCGGACTCCCAACCACTGCGCCATCAGGGAAGCCCTTGACAATAGTTTTTATGGCCTGTGGCTTGTCTTTTCATTATCTTAATATCACTTTTCAAAAGCAGAAATTTAATTATTTTTTTTTTGTGGTACACGGGCCTCTTGCTGTTGTGGCCTCTCCCGTTGCGGAGCACAGGCTCCGGACGCGCAGGCTCAGCGGCCATGGCTCACGGGCCCAGCCGCTCTGCGGAATGTGGGATCCTCCCGGACCGGGGCATGAACCCGCGTCCCATGCATCGGCAGGCGGACTCTCAACCACTGCGCCACCAGTGAAGCCCAGAAATTTAATTTTTGATGCAATTCAATTTTGAATTTTTTTGTTTGTGTTTCAGTTTCTACTGGGAAGTATTTGTGTAAACCAATTCACAAAGATTATCTTGCAGTTTTTCATATAGAAGTTTTTTTTTAAGCTAAAAGATAGGGATTTTTTCTTAAGCTATTTATAGATTGAGTCAGAAGTTCTGAAGTTTTTTCTTTTTCTTCCTGCTTTATTGAGCTCTAAGTTGCAAATCAATGCATATATTTAAGTTAAAAACACGAAGATTTGATACTTGCATACGCTGTGAAATAATTATCACAGTCAAGTTCTTTAACTCATCCGTCACCTCTCAGGCCCCCTTGGAAACAGCCATCCACGTTGTAGCAGGTATTTAAGGAGCTGCAGTTTCGGAGCACTGTGACTGGGGCCACCTCGATCTGTGGAATTTGTATCATTTCTCTCTACGCCCAGAGGGCTTTCTGGACGTGTGCGTATCTTCTCTTTGTGAGCCTTGGAGAGTAAATTCCGTGGACTGCCGCATCTCTGTATGATGTCTCCTGGGAAGACACTTGCGCGAGGGTCTGAAATGAGGTCTGGGTTGGAAATGAGAGCTAGGGCGGAATAGGCATCTGTGTGGGAAGGAGGTGAGGTCCCATCTCAGGGGCTCCACGACCAGATTGTGTCTAAAAAGTCACTTGGGCCTCCGTGCGGAGTCCAGGGTGTGGAGTTCAATATCTTGCATTTACGCAACATTTGAAGATTTGTTCTTTTCCTAGAAGAAAATACCTTAATTTTTTTTTTTAAGCTAATATGTGGTCAGGTGGAAAATTTAAGCAGAATCAGAGTGGAAAGCAGAAATCCCACTATGCGGAGATAGCCACTGTTAACATTTTAGGGAAAGTCTGTCTACGTGTCACTTTCTGCAAATTTTCTAGAATTTATGTAAATGGGATCATACCGTAGATGCTATTTCTAACCTGCTTTTTCTCTTTCACAATACTGTGGACATCATTTTATATTCACAGGGAGGGCTTCCCTGGTGGCGCAGTGGTTGAGTCCGCCTGCCGACGCAGGGGACGCGGGTTCGTGCCCCGGTCTGGGAGGATCCCACATGCCGCGGAGCGGCTGGGCCCGTGAGCCATGGCCGCTGAGCCTGCGCG